AAAAATAGAGGAAAGGCAACCCCCAACCTCCAACAATTTATCAAAGAAAACCAAGAAACCGAACAAAATAGACTTCATATAAATCGGCAATTTAAAAATAATATTTTATGGAGTAAAAAAGTACCTTTAAACTAAAATTAGATTATGAATAATCCAAACCATTTAGTTAAAAAGGACTGAAAATTTTATACGATTGTAAAGATACAGGTCATTCTATGGCATCCCATAGATTAAATGGAAATGTGATGGCTAAAGTGAGATCAACAAAGTAATAATCCCAACCAAACACCAACTATTGAAACATATTATACCGACAACAAGTAGAGAAAATTACATCCAACTTTCAACCATATAAGTAACTAAATCATAAGGAATAATCCAAGGTAAGCATACGAACCACTATAGAATTATTTATATAGCAATTCATGAAAAATCTAAATCATGATTCCTTAATAAAATATAATAGTAATGAAGTTCATAAAATACCATATGGTTGTTCGTAAAAAACTCAACTCCAAACATGGGATATTACATTGTGATCCAAGTCAAAACTAGCCAAAGACAAAGCTAAATCATAGTTAAGGTAGAATGTGGCCTCAATCTAGTGTTAAAAGTTAAATTCACCATCGATTAAAGTTTGCCTCGCACCTAATCCAAACACTTGTTGCCTCATGTTTCAAAGTCAAATCTATCACCTATCTTATTGTCAAGTCAAAGCCACTTCCCAACTTGCTTCATTGTCAAAACTCCTGCAACAAAGTCTTAGTCAACTCGAAGCGCTGAAGCTATCCAATGGAAAATCATTGGTTGTATCTCGCTCTCATTAGAGTTCCAAATAAAAAGAATGTCTAAGGCATAAAATAAAATTTTCGCTTAAACTTTATAAGCCACAAGTCCATGTTTTTGGCATGTTAGGGCATGTCCAGTCCATGTCCTGGCTATGTCAAGAACAAAATTGAAACTAGATTGAAACTTAAACGACCTCAACATAAAGTTGAACGGGTTAGAATTGCGGCATGGCATGTTGGAGCACTGCACATTTTCTACACACGTCTCACACAAATATGGTGCATGGCATGTTGGAGCGCTGGAGCGCTGCACATTTTCTACACACGTCTCACACAAATATGGGAGTCATTTCAAAGTGTCCATGATTCATAGCGTGATAGTAAAACTTCAATCTCATGAGTTCCCTAACAAAATTTAAGCAATTATTGCCGTATGATCAACGAACATTTTCATTGATTGTCTTCAAAATTGTATATTAGTTGATTGTGAATGCACTTAAATTCAATATTTAAAACTAATCATAAAGAAAACAAATTAATGTCTTATCATGAGAACAATGGAGCATGCATATGCTTGGGAGAAGTTGGCAGAAGCACGAACTAGTACTTGGAGATAAAAACTAGCCTGAAGTTGTTTTAGCAGCTACAGGAAAAAAAAGATGCTTTCAAAGCAATCCAAAGGACAGAAGTTCTTACTTTGTATTTAGCAACCTCTTCACTGACTTCTTTAAGATCACCTTTTGTAAAAATCAATCCCACATTTCCCTGTAACATGCAACAAAAATTACATTCAATACAGACGAATAATTTAAAAAATAAACAGATAACGACAATATAACTCGCATAACCAATAAAAACTACTAATTTTACATAACGTACTGAGGGATCAATGATATTTATTTTCAGATTATCCTTCGAACCTTCGAAAAAAAATATAATTTAAGAACATTGTTTCGGGTCTATCCCAGGGCAAGCTTAGAAAAAAAAATTAAACAGAAGGATAATAATATTGGACAAAGCTGAATCCAGAAAACAGAAACCTAAGGCAATAGAATTATTGAAAAATAAGTATAAGGAACAAGAAACATACCACGAGCAACGGAAGGAGATTGAGGTAGGCCTGATTGCCACTCTTCTCAGCATGCACCTTGATGCACCTCCTGATGAGAGTGTTCTTACCCATCAGAACGACGGAATCACCTCGCAGACCCTTCCTAATGTTTTGCAACTGATTGGATCCAACATTGTCCGCCACAGCGATCAAAACCTTGCTATATTCGTCCAGCATGCGGCACAGCTTCTTGTCGTAGTTAACCTTCTTCTCGGCCTTGGAGAGCTTCACCGTCATCCTTACTGCTGAAGATTTACGAAATCAAAGAATCCCTAAGTATAGTCTGAGAATTGCTAAGATAGAGGGGACCGACTGAAGGGCCAAGACGAAGCACAGCTTTGCCAAGGCGGACGGGACGCGAAACCCGTCTCTTTAACCCGAAGAACTCTCGAGAGAAAATGAAAGAGAGAAAACCCTAGGAGGTAAACAGCCGTGCCGCGAAGAAGAAGCCCTAGCATCCACGGTGATTTATAGTACGAGGACACGCGAGAATGGTATCCAACGGCAATGGTTTAATATTGCATTTGATCTGATGGCTGAGAAAAGAAGTTGGATTTCTCCCGTAAATATACCGGTTATTTGAATGATGTTCTTAAAATAGATTTCTTATGAAAGTTTAGAGTAATTGAAATCCATATATTTTACAACTATATAATTTAGTTAATTGGGCACGAATAAAAGAGAAACGCATTAATTTTGCTTTTTCATCCTCAATGAAGTGTTGGTGGATGTAATGCCAAAAAATTTAGTTGTTCCTGAAAGGCTCCTGTCAACTTATTAAGCAGTTTATGTTTGAATCATTCGTTAAGTAAATGAGTCGAACATGAATAAATTGTTTTAAGCTTGAATTATAAATAGGCCGAACATGAACAACCTTTTGTTGATCATATTTGACTTATTTTACCTCAAAAAAAATACATAAATATTATTTATATAACAATATATAATATATATTATTTATATAATAATATTATATATATATATATATATATATATATATAGAGAGAGAGAGAGAGAGAGAGAGAGAGATAAAACATAACAATCTATGTGATCATGTGATTCTACAACTTTTATTACACTGAATCAGTGCAAGTTTGAATACAACACTTATATATATATATATATATATTAAAATTAATTTAAACGTGTCAATTTTAACCAGAACACGAACCGAACACAAATAATACTATGTAAATTAAGTCTAACACGAACACACTTTCCACGAGCAATTTCAAACATAAGTCAATTTCGAACGAGCGGAACACGTGTCAAGCCTAATCTCGCTCAGTCTGAGCTCATTTAACAACCCTAGGTTGATACGAAAGAAAAAGAATTTCAAGTTTTTAAAAAAATTATCAAAATGATTATAAATCGAATGATATATTTTGAATACCTCTAATGGAAACTTGGCACTCATAATAGTAAGTGTTGCCCATTCGATCCGGCTCCAGCCAAACTCTTGTCTCGAACAAGTCAACATTATTTTGGCTTTTGGGTAAAATTTTAGATAGTTTAGACCCGAGAATAATACATTTGAGAATCTAACAAAATCTCTGCAATCAATTTTGAGCAAATATAAAATGTTTATAACATCATTTATCAAATAATGTATATTTTGATAGAAAACGTAAACTATAGGAGAGTATGAACTTATAGTTAAAAAAAAAATGTTACTCCTTGAATGGGAAAATGATCCATGATTAAGAAATTTATTTTATAAATCATAAATCATGTTGCTATATTAAATCTAAGAAAATGCTTAAATTAAATTTATGATCATCAAAAGTCTTCTTTCAAAAAAATTACAATCAAACCAAATATTGTGATAGAAAAAA